CATACTTTGTGAATTTATTGTTATTTGATAAATTCTGACATTGTGGAAAGGCATAAATGTGGTCTTCTATGCTTCTAATATGACAAACATCCTTCCATGGAAAATAAAATCAAGCAGCCTACCCAAGAACTTGGGAAGTTGCCAACCGATATCAATGTTTCTACCCTACCTTAACTGTTCCCCTCCTTGCCTTAGGGCAGCAGCTCCTTGCTACTGAAGAACACCTGCCTGGGAGGGCAGATTTGAGGATACAGCAGAGAAAGAAATCTCTCCCACAGTGCTTGGGCAGAGGGGGAGCTAATGAGTTAATCCTGGACAGCAGAATAGTGAGAAGAGAGTCATATTTCCGGAGGCTACTTCAGTTTTCTTTTCCATTTTGAGCATTTTCACTTATGACATCAATGTTTGTCAGCTATTATGGAAACTCCCCCCTTTGGGGGAGGGGGGTGATACTTCCTCTTCTACCATGGCTCCCTATAAAGGGCCTGCCTGAGCAGGAGACCATCCCTGCAGAGACTCCTGAGACAGTATTCGCATCTCCCTCAGTCTCTGCCCCAGGTGCCATGAAGGTCTCCACAGCTGCCCTCGTTGTCATCCTCACCACTGCTGCCCTCTGTGCTCCTGCATCTGCCTCTCCATGTAAGTCCAGGGTTCTGACCACCACAGCCCGTGGGGTTAACCCATTCTTTACCTGGATGCCCACCCCATCCCACTGCCCCAGACTTGCCCTGTTTTTGACCATGTATACTGTCTCATTTGAGCATGTATACTGTCTCAATCCCATGAGTTGCATTTTTATATATCATTTACCCAGGCATTTTGCTGCACCTTTTAGAACTTTAAGCCATTTTGTGGCAGGACCCCCTGATTAACTTTCATATGTCTCCAAAGTCTACACTCAAGTCCTACAGGTGGTCATTAAGTGTGGACTGATGCTGGGGATATGGGGAGGCAGGGGGAGCTCAAGTTGATCTTGAAAAATAACTGATTCATGTCATCTGCACTGTTTCTAAGAAACTTCTGAAAACTTAAAAAAAATTATTTGTTTTTGTTTTTGTTTTGAGACAGCGTCCCTGTAGCCCCAGCCGGCCTGTAACTCGCTATGTAGAACAGGTTGGCCTTACTCTCACAGAGGCATAGGCCTGCTCTGCCTCTCCAGTGCTGGGATTAAAAGTGTACACTGGCTAAAATACTTTTTCAAAAAGACCTCATTTCGTATATTGGAAAAAATGAGGCTTCTGAAAGAAAAATAAAAGTGAATTAAATGCCTATTATGGTTCAGGAATTGTGCCAACTACTACACACACTATCATATTTAATGTAACTACTCTTTGAGCAGCTGTTCTTGACTTACAGTGGGAAAGAGAGCCCAGGGAGATTAACATTCTTGCCTAAGAGTGCACACAGCTAGGAAATATGGAAACAGGTATTCAAAACAGCTCTGTCAGGCTGAGAAGATAAATACCTCTGCTCTGCTGGAGAACAGTGACTGTGCTGCTCGGCAGCATCTTGAATTAACCGACCTGCATTCAGAGCCCTTCTCTCCACATCATTCCCAGAGCTCTCAGGATGTCATATACATTTTTCGGGCCCCATTTAGGATACTGGCTAAGTCATGGAACCTTAGTTTGGGATACCTCCCTACAATCTACCCTACATCTCGAAAGAAACCAAGTTTTGAATCCACTGGGGGTGTTGAAAAGTCAAGACTAAGGGCAGAAGTTCCAGGATAGGCCAAGAGGAGGCCCTGTAGGGGGCTATGGTACAGAGGGAAAAGTACAAGCTTGGCTCAAGGATCAGGTAGAATTTGGGGAGATCCTTTCAGGCGTCTATTGAAATCCCTACTATAGTAACTGTGTCTTCTAAGCCTCCATTTCTGCCAAGGTAGACAACAACAGACAAAGCTTTCCAGATAAATCATGCAAAGCGCTCAGTACTATGCCCAGTGTAATTGGCAACGAGTAAAGGGGTTTCCTTCCTTCTTTCTCCCAGATGCCTCGGACACCACTCCTTGCTGCTTTTCTTACATCTCCCGTGCACTGCCCCGGGCCCATGTCATGGAGTATTTCTACACCAGCAGCAAGTGTTCCACTCTTGCAGTCGTGTGAGTCTCAGCCCCATGAGCTTCGGGGGTGGGGGGATGTAAGGAAGGGCTACCTCTGACTCCAGTCAGCCCCCCGTATCCTTCTCAGAGTGGCCCACTCACTCCCACCCATTCTCTGGCTCCTCAGATGGCAGTGGGTCCCTTAACTCAGAGGGACTTTGAATCAAAGCCCCCAGCTGTAACATAAAAGGACTAAACAAGGTGTCCTAGGAGGAGACTGTCCACTCCTAGGTCCAGGTTCTAGGACATCAACTTTTGCTAGTGCATCTTTTTCTTGAGCACAGGCTAAAATGCCCTTGTGTGGAGAATACTAATTCTATCATTTCTTTCCAGTTAAGAGCTTGAAAGCTTCCATATTGCACACCCAATGCAGTCTACCTCCTCTGAGCAACCATGAGGGAGGGGTCGAGGTCAGGGCCCTAGTTTTAATCAAGCAAAAAGCAAAAAAAACCAAAACAAACCTATCCATTTAAGAAGTAATAATGACATTCATCTTTAAGGGTACACACCAATACAATTGGGAAAATATAATAATCCCTTCTACATAGGGAGTGCTTACTATGTATCATGTCTATGCACATTATCTCTAAATTGTGCATAGCACTGGCAGGTATGAAGGATTCTCTCCATGTCTCAGGTAATGAAACTGAGATTCAGAGAGGTCTGTTGACTTAGTAAAAGCTGTACAGTAAGTGAGAGATAGAGACTCTCTCTGGAGCATCCTCTTTCTATTACAAAACAAGGTCATTAGTGACAGTGGCTTCAGAAATTTAAGATGATAGAGACATACAGAATGAAAATGAGACAATCATGAAGTATCCTATAAAAGGATGAAGTTTTTTAACCCAAGGATTTTTGTGACTTGGCAAAGCTCTGTGTATTCAAAGATGGAGTCGGGTCCTGGTTAATCACTCAAAGTGTAATGGCAATATTTAGCATTACTAATTTTATCCCTGAAAATAAGCATTTTTCAAAAACTGTCCTTCCCTGAGCACCTGTTATGAGCAGGCAGAGAGGAATAAGATCACCACCCTGATTGTATCTAGTAAAAGTGAGAAAACAGACACAGAATGACTATTGCACCCTACAAAACATTACTACAGGAAAGGAGGGAGCTGTCCAGTTTCAGGGGTGAGGATGGAGGAGTTCAGAGGAGGTTGCTGAAGAAGATGCTATTTGTGGAGAGATTAGGAAGGGAGGAAGGAGTACCTGTGGGACAGGTATATCAGGAACATCTTCACAGGATTCTACTTTGACTTGTAGGGATTCATGTAGGAAAAAGAGAACTCCTTGAATGTCAGAAAACTGAAGCAAAAACAGAGTAAAATGGCAATAGTAAAATGACATGGGGCAGGGAAAGCCTATGGAGAAGGGGGCCAGTTAAGAGGCTGTTGAAGTCATCCACGTGTGTAGTGTTGGAGGCCGAACCATTCCTGAAGGTGAGGAAAGACAAAGAGTGAGGAGCTTTAGAGGACAAATCAGACAGGGCAAGGGACTTGTGTCAGGAGCAGAAAGTGGGAGATAAGGATGATGCTGAGGTTTCAACCCAGAAGGCTGGAGCAGTGTGCAGGTATGAAAATCTGGAGGACACACTGGGTTTTTTTTTGTTGTTGTTATTATTTTTTGGTAGTTTTTGAGTCAGGTCTCCTTGTAACCCCAGCTGTCCTAGAACTTGATATGAAGACCAGCCTGGCTTTGAGATTCAATGTGGCTCTGGACAGAGATCCACCTGCCTCTGCCTCCCGAGTGCTGGGATTAAAGGCGTGTACCACCATGCCCGTCCAGAAGACACACTGTTTAAAGAAGGAGCCAAGCAAGGTTCCAGCAAAAACACCCTATGGAAATGTCAGATGGAGTGTAAACAAAGGGCTGATAGCTGAGGAAAGGGTACAGGGACTTAAGAAGAGGCAAGGTTATGTTGTCTTGGTAAATACTGGCTCTAGAGTTAGTCTGCTGTATTATAATCTGTTACGTCACTTGGTAAACTTGGGCATTTCAACCTCTTTGAGCCTCAGTTTCCTCATTAAAGAGGAGGTAATTAAAGCACTTCTCTCAGGGCTAGAGAGATGGCTCAGTAGTTAAGAGAATGGATACAGGCAAGGAGGTAGCTGGACTGATTCTAGTGACTCTCAGTTCATGTACTTTCAGCTTACATCATCCATGCCTGTTCAGATAAAACCCTGAACTCCCACTGGCCTCCACATTGTGGCTGGTAAATGGGAAGAGCCTTGATACTGTCAATATCTCAGGGCCTGTCTGACTCACAGTCTAATACAAGGACCTTTGCTCTCCTATTGTTCTAATTCACTTCAAAGCAGAGGTCTCACAACATTCTAATAACAAGACGTCTTATGCATGGTATTTTCCAAATTCCTTCACACACATCTCATTTGAGCTTCATAACAATTATGAAAAGAAGGAATTATTAATATTCACATTTTAGATGTTAGCAGCAAGGCTCAGGGTTTCTAAGTGATTTGTCCATAGCGATCCAACTAAGAAGTGGTAAAGCAAGATTCATGTTCATGCCCTTCATTCACTCACCCATTCATAGAAATATTCACATGTTCATTTGCTGAGTGTCTGTTCTGTGCGAGGCACTGTGTTGTTTAAAGCCAAACCTTGTGTTTTATTAATAATTTCTTGTATCCCACTTACTCAGCCATGACAATTCCTGTAGGACATCTTTTCCTCTCTGTATCTAGTACCCAGCATAAGAGCCTGGATCAAGGGAAATACCAAGAAAGTGCAAGTGTTTAGCCTTTTCAATTCTGGGTTCAAGATTTGCTTGTGTTTGTATGGGGTTAAAATGCACACAGCTTTGCCTGTGGCTTGAAGCCTTTAGACCCAAGAAAAGAAATGTCTTCTCCGAAAAGAAAGAAAATCTTGGGGCTGGAGATATTGTCCAATGGTTAAGAGCACCAACACCCACTGCTCTTGCAGAGGACCAGGGTTCAGTCCTACATCACAGCTAACAATCATCCCTAATTCCAGTTCCAGGGAATCTGACACCCTCCTCTGGCTTCCACAGGTACTGCAGGCACAGGTGCACTTAGGTACATGCAGTCAAAATACTCATACACATGCCAGGCATGGTGGTGCATGCCTTTAATCCTAGCACTTGGAAGGCAGAGGCAGGGGGATCTCTGTGAATTTGAGGCCAGCCTGGTCTACATAGTGAGTTCCAGATAAGCTGGGGCTACTGGGGGACCCTGTATCAAAAAGACAACAATGAAAAACTCATAAGAAATGAGTACATCAACTCTTTGGAAATGAGCTAGGATAGAGGGCTCCTTGAGCCTGGCTTTGTGTAACTCACCTATTGCTGCTTGCTCTAGTCCTAACCAGCTTGGGAAGCTACACAGCAACCCTACTCCCACTCATCCCTGACAGGGCATAGTTTTCTATCACACAGCAGCACATAAAATTTAAAAGTAATAAAATTTAATTTAATTTAAAAAAGAAAATCTTACTGAGTTATAAAAATGCATTCCCCAACTCCCATCACCATTTCCCATTACGCTCTCCAATCCCTTTGTGCCAAAAGCTGTCCCAGTGCTAACAATCTCACGCTCCTTTCATCCTTTCCTCTCCTACAGCTTTGTCACCAGAAGGAACCGTCAGGTGTGTGCCAACCCAGAGAAGAAATGGGTTCGAGAGTACATCAACTCTTTGGAAATGAGCTAGGATAGAGGGCTCCTTGAGCGTGGCCTTGTATAATTCACTTGTTGCTGCTTGCTCTAGTCCTAACCAGCTTGGGAAGCTGCACAGCAACCTTACTCCCACTCATCCCTGACAGGGCATAGTTTTCTATCACACAGCAGCATTTAGAACAGCATCCTCTACCTAAAGCCTGAGAGGGCTACTGAAGCCCTGCCCTGACAACAAGAAGTCTCCGGGCTCTGAGCTTCAGGCCCCTCTACTTGCCCATGGCTCTGTGAAACAGGAAAGAAGTGTCTCTCAAGCAAAAATGGAAGAAAAGAAAAAAAGAGTTCCTATGTCGGGCCCTCATGGGCTGAATAGCAAGTCTAAGAAATCAGTATTTCATTAAAATTTCCAATTCAATGACACAGCTGGCTCCTGGTTTGATTTCTTCATTCAGAACCCTCCTTCCCCACAAATATTTAGCACTCAGAGGGAAAAGTTTGCATATCCTTGGTATCCACACTAGATTTAGGGGGTATGGCCCTGCCCAGTGAGCAGGGCTGGAAGCAAACACTCTCTGGAAGTCGGCATGGGTAGGCAGAGCTGGAAAAGTAATGACTTACCACTGGGTTTGGAGGCCAATCATGATGATGTTCTACCGCTAAGTCCCCCAAGAGTTTATCTGTGTCCCTGCCATAGCACCTCCCTGCTTTCTAAGACTTTGGGTGGCCCTTCTACCTTAGCCTGCCCCTACACCTTATCCCCAGTGGGTTTCTTTAATGCTAACCTTGCCCCCAGAACAGGACTTAATGGCAATTCCAAAGGCCTTAGGTCTTTTAGGTAGGGTTTTGACAACTGTGTCAGCACATTTAAGGAGGGAGTGGTCCAGCTTTCCCACCTAATGTGCCTTCATGGAACATATATTGACAACAGATAGGACTGTAGGAGCCATTAACCGAGCACTCACTTTGTGCCAAGCAATGGCTCAGCCCCTCACATTCATCATCCTTTATAACCATATGGAGGGGGCACTAATATTAACTCTGTTTACAGTAAGGAAAACTTTTTTTCTTCTTTTTAAAATTGTGTGTGTGTGTGTGTGTGTGTGTGTGTGTGTGTTATGCATGTGTGTGAATGCACATGCCATAGAGCACATGTGTAGGTCAGAGCACTTTCTGGAGTTGATTCTCTTCTTCTACCTTTACATGGGTTCCAGGAATCAAACTCAAGTCACCAGGCTTGCACAGCAAGCACCTTTACACCTAAGCCATCTTGCTGGCCCAACAGTCAAGAAAACTTGATAGAAATTATTTGCCCGGGGCTGGAGAGATGGCTCAGCAGTTAAGAGCACTGACAATCAATTCCAAGCACCCACATAGTAGCTAACAACTGTCCTTAACTCCAGTTCCAGGGGAATCCAACACCCTCTTCTACCTCCGTGGGCATTGCACAACACAGGTGCACTCACAGGCATGTCAGCAATACACTCATACAGATAAAATAAAAATAATAAATAAAATATAAAAAGAAATTATTTGCCTAAAGCCCCACAGACTAAAGGGAAACAAGTTAAAAATTTAAAGATTTAAACCAAATAGATATAATATCATCATCTATACTCTTACCATCTTCAATTTAATAATTTTTAAACTTGCAAAAATATATATACGCTTCAATCTTTCTCTTTATGTATATGTGTGTGCATACACATACATTTTTTCTGAACCATTTGAAGCTGAAAATATAATAGTACTATACCCCTAAAGGTTTCAGTATGGATCTCCTAATAATAACATTCTACATAACCACAAAATGAATAACACAGGAAATAAACTTAGCAACGACATAGCATTATTTTGTTTTGAGACACGTTCTCCCTATAGCCCCAGCTGGCCTGGAACTCACTTTGTAGGCCAAGCTGGTCTCATTCTCGCAGAGATCCACCTGCCTCTGCCTCTGAATGCTGGGATTAAAGGCATGTGCCACTACACCTGGCTTCATTGTTTTGTAATAAATGATCATCAAATTTATATTACCAAATCTCCCTCCCATTGTCCTAATAATATCCTCTATGACTATTTTTTTAAAATTAAGAATCCAATGGGACCAGAGAGATGACCCAGTAGTTAAGAGCATTTGCTGTTCTTGCAGAGGATGTGGTATCAGTACACACACAGCAGCTCACAACCAGCTCACAACTAAAGTTCCAGGGTATTCAACGACCTCTTATAGTCTCCTTGGGCACTGTAGCTAGGCAGAACATTCATACACATAAACTTTTTAAGAAATTATAAATTAAGAATCCAATTCAAAGCCAGGTGTTATGGCACATGCCTTTAATACCAGCACTCAGGAGGCAGAGGCAAACAGATCTCTGTAAGAACCTGTCTCAAAAAAAATTAAATTCAGTACATACATTGAATTTAGCTAGTTTGTCTTTTCAGTGCTTTTTAGTGCTAGTATGTCTTTATGCTGTTTTTTGTTGTTGTTGTTGTTGTGTTTTCTGTTTGTTGTCTGAGATGGGATTCACCATGTAGCCCTAAGCTGCATTGAACTCCCTATGTAGACTAGAATTTATGACTACCCTCTTTCCTCTGCTTCGAGTGTTGACCTTACACGGGTGCACCACTGTGCCCAGCCCTTATCTTGTCTTGTTTCATTTTTCTTTTTGATTGAGGCAGTCTCACTGTGTAGCCCTAGATGGCCTCCAACTCACTATGTAGACCAGACTGGCCTGGAATTCACAAAGATCTGCCTGCCTCTGCCTCCGAAATACTGGAATTAAAGGCATGTACTACCAAGCCTGGCATTTATTTTGATTTTGAGACAGGGTCTCATTACATAGCCCAGACTAACCTCGAACTTTCAGTCTTCCTATCTCAACCTTCCTTCTAGTCTGGGATTACTTACAAGTGTGCACTACAACAACAGTTAAACATGCTTGCTTTTCTGTCTTTATGGAAGAAATTTTTTTTGTAGGGTATTTCTTAATTTGGATTTGCTTGATTATTTCCTTAGATTCATGTTAAACAATTTTGGTGGGAATTGTATTTGGGTGATTTTTTTTTTTTTTTTTTTTTTGCCTTTTTGAGACAGGGTAGCCCCAGCTGTCCTGGAACTCACTATGTAGACCAGGCTGGCCTTAAACTCACAGAGATCTGCCTGCTTCTGCCTCCTGAGTGCTGGGATTAAAGGCATGCATCACCATTCCTGGCTTTGGGTGATATCTTTGTACATCACATTAAAGCACATTATTATTTACTGATGATGTTAGGTCTGATGACTCAATGATCCATATATTATTGATACACAGTGTGATGGTTAATCTTGGTTATCAACTTGACTGGATCTGGAATCAACTGAGACTAAGCCACTGACCACACTTGTAAAGGCTTTTCTTGATCAGGTTATCTGAAGTAGAAAGACCCACCCTGAATGTAGGCTCATAGTCCAGTGAGGATGACGGCAACAGAGTAAACATAAAGAAAGGGAAGGGAACAGAATGGGAGAAAGAAGGAAGGAAGGAAGGAAGGAAGGAAGGAAGGAAGGAAGGAAGGAAGGAAAAAATGGAGGAAAGAGAGAGAAAAAGGAGAGGAAGGAGGGAGGGAGGAAAAGGAAGGGAAGGGGGGAGAGAGAGAAGGCTATAGTCATACTATAGGGAATGGGGATTACATCACTGAGTCAGGTGGGGCAGGTGGGGGAGGGAGCTTGGGGAGGAAAGTCTTCAGAGATGACCTAATATTGATGTGGCATTTGAAAGATAAGGAGTGACAGTTTAATAGGTAGGAAGGGAAGGGAAAGGCCTGCAAGGTAGAGGGAATAGCAAATGCAAACAGATGAGACATGAAAGGCAGCTCAGTACAAATAGTCTCCTGCCGCCACCAAGGAGGGGTATATGTTTAAAAGGGGCTTTTCTGTCCCTGTCATTTTCCTGATGACTAATCCTATAAACAACCCTTACCCCTAACAAGGGTTGGCTTGAGCTTGATGGTTCACCGAATACTTTCTATAACTCACCAAAGCCACTGGAGTTAATCAGACAATCATGGCATCTCCATTTTCTTTATTTTTTTAATTTTAAATTTATTTTTATGAGTATTATGCCTGCATGTAAGTGCACCCATGTCATGCAATACCCATGGAGGTCAGAAGAGGGCGCCAGAGCCCCTGAAACTGGAGTTACAGATGGTTGTTAGCCACCATGTGGATGCTGGGATTCGAACCTGGGTCTTCTGCAAGAACAGCCAGTGCTCTTAACTGCTGAGTCATCTCTCCAGCCCTTCTCCATTTTTCTAATGAGGGAAATAAAGCTCAGAAAGTTAAAGAAGCAACTCAGTAGATAGGCCAACAGAGGCTAAGGGTGGGGCTCAAAAATGGAACTTGGGTGTTCTGTTTCCCAAGGCGATCTGGTTGCTCAGCACTTGGAAGCTTCTACCTCCAGAAGTCTGAGCACCTCACTAGTCTCTCTTGTGCCAGAGGATTAGCCTGCTCCAGCTGTGCCTCCACTGCTCTACATTCCTGAATTCTTGACTGCCTAGGTTCCCTCTGGCCTGCACCAAAGATGGGCTATGAAATATCAGTGGATTGCTTTGATATTGTCAAGTCAATGTTCAAGTACCCATGGCTGGAATATCAAAACAGGACCAAAGGTGAGGATGGGATGGACAAGAAAAACAAGACTGACTACCTAGACCCAACCCCAGAAAAGGTTCTGGGCTTAGCAAATCTGTGGGAAAGGGAAAGGGCCTCACAGTAAGTCTCTAGTTCCTCAGCAGAGCTTACTGGGATCTCTCAAGTTGGGATACTTGTGTGTGCCCTCAGTATCTCCTACCCCAACTCTCATACCTCCAACTCTCTGCATAAGGTGTTCTTTGTACCCAGTGCTTTCTCCCCTTATCTAACTCCTGCTTGTACTGAAGGTGCTTGTACATCTCTAGGAAACCTCTCACCCCCCCCCCAGCCATATCAGGTACCTCTCAGCTATACTGCCTGCATCTATTGCCACATTTGTTTCCCTCTGTTAACCATTACAGAACATTTCTGCCTTGGCAATGAGACCAGCAGTTCTCAAAATGTCCCAGAAGTAACAGCGTTACTGTCTTACTAGAAATACAAATTGTCAGACCCACTTCAAGCCTCAAGAATTGGATACTAGGAGAAAGAGTCCCAGAAATCTGTATTTTAAATTTTATTTATTTTTATTTTTGTGTGTATGAGCATTTTGCCTGCATATATGTAAGTGCACCACATGCATGCAATGCCTGTGGAGGCCAAAAGAGGGCAATGGATTCCCTGGACCTGGAATTACAGATGGTTGTTAGTTGCCATGTAGGTGCTAAACACTGAACCTGGGTCCTCTGTAAGAGCAGTCAATGCCCTTAACCATTGAGTCATCTCTCCAGCCCTGAAATCTGTATTTTAACAAGTGCTCCAGTGAGTCTAATGCACACTCATGTTTGAGATAATGAACGAGTCCAATGGTTTTCACCCTTAGCTGAATATAGGCCACTTCAATGGAGCTTTCTAAAATGTCAAGGCTCTGTCACCACATAATCTGTCTCACTTAGTCTGATATAGGACATAGTATGTTTAAACTTCACCCCAAGAATTCTAACATGCAACCAAAATTGAGAACACTCTTCTGGTTCTGTGTTCCTTAACTCCAACTACAAAAGAATTATGTGGGGGATCTTGTTGAAATGAAGCTCCAAGACTGCACAGTAGCATAGTAGCAGGAAGACCACATGCCCCTGAAGGGCAGAGATATGCCTCATTTACAATCCTGTACCTAGAGAACATCGGTGCTAGTACTCACAAACTGCAGAATAAACAAATGCCTCAACAAACCCTTTTGAACCTATTTTGTAGCCTCTGTCTTATCTGTACCACACATGCTCTTGCTCCTCATGCCAGAATTCAGGAAAGTCATGACTCCTGTTCTCCTGCCCCTGTCCTATTACAAGGTGAGTCCTCTAACTTTTGTTACCCTAGGGGCGCCAAACTCCCTTCAAATTCAAGCCAGCTCACAGAACCCTGACATTCACCTGTAGGGCTGCCATTTATACTATGTGATCTTGGACAAGCCATTTCCTTCTCTGAGTGAGCCTCAGGAGCTTTATCACAGGCCAACACTGCCTGCCTCCTTGTGTGGAATTGCTATGAGACAAAGTATATAAGTCCTGGGCTGTGCAGAGTGGAGTGCTTATGAATAGAAGTCATTTTTACTCATTAACACAGGGTTTCTCAGTTGGGGCTGCTACATAACATACAGTCTGCCCAATTACATTTAAATTTCAGATAAACAATGAATTTTTTAATATAAAAATACCCCAAGTATTTTATTCATTACCTGAAATCTAAATTTAAGTTAATGTGCTTTTGGAGTTTTTTTGTTTGTTCTTGCTAAATTTGGAAACCCTGCTCACCATTAGTCAATGTTCTGTATTTTGAAGTCATGATAATCACTTGAAAATCCTTATGATCTTTTCATCCGTTGAGTTGGGTGGGAGCTACTGACTGAAGTCTCCCTCCCACCTCCTTTTTTACCTATTGTCCAGGGAGATCTATTCTAAAGGCAGGAAAACTTGAGAAATGGGTGAATCCTAGCCACATCCTCAGAGAAAGTCACTGGCCCACCAAACCTCTCTACCACGGTCAGAGCTATAACAGTTAAAAGCTTGGAATCTAGCATGAACAAGGCCCTACATTCATTCTCAGGAACATACAGAGCAAAGTAGTTACACAGCTGCGGATTTGAAGAAAGTCTTCAACTAAAGTTGTTTTCCCAACTGAACTATGAAGTTCATGCAGGGAGGGAAGAGAACTATATAGCACCTAGTAGGTGCTCAATTAAGTGTCTGAAGGAGCAGTAGCCTGTCTTTTTCCTCCCTTTATGCTATGCCCTCACCAGTCCTGGCCTTTTCATCTCCCTGTCCATATGACCTTTCAAAAGACTTTGAGATTCTCAAGTAACTAAACAGTGAACTCAGATTAATTTACAGAGCCCTCAAAAATCTGGAGTTCGGGCCAGGCGTGGTGGCACACTCAGGAGACAGAGGCAGGCGGATCTCTGTGAGTTCAAGGCCAGCCTGGTCTATATAGTGAGTTCCAGGACAGCTGGGGCTACAGGGAGACCCTGTCTCAAAAAGACCAAAAAAAATAATAAATAAATAAATAAATAAATAAATAAATAAATAAATAAATAAATAAATAAATCTGGCGCTCTTCTGATCTTCACAACTTTAGTAGGAGAGGAACAGAATAAGGATTAATTAGACACATTTTACAAATGAGAAGACTGAGGCCTTGGTAGGGTAAAGAAACTTGTCCAAGTCATACAATGGGTGAGCTGGTAGCTATGACTCCAGCCCAGATGAGAGGTGAAGGTGGTATCTCTCATTCTACCCTTTCTTGGGACTCAGCACTCTGGCAAGGGCCTAGGGGACCCCTCTGAATATTTTGCCACTTGTCCTCCCCTCTGCCCACCAGATGGTAAAGGAAGAGTTTCCCCCAAATCCAGAGTACTGGAGGATATATCCATGCAGGCCAAATGCAATCCCTTTCTGCCGCTCAAAGAAACAGGATCTCTTCTTAAATTGGCGCATTCTGCATGATCAACGCAAGGAACGGGAGTCCCACAAGATAATACAGAAAAAAAGAAACCTCCCTAGGTGTGCTCTGCCCATCTCCATATTCTTCCCACCTTCTACTTCTTCTAGGAAAGGGAGGAAAGAAGAGGAAGGGTTGGGCCAGGAATGGGGCAAGTCAGGCACTAAAGAGGATACTGGGGTAGAAGAGCAGCTCTGTGAGTGGGTATTACTGGTCCCCTTTCTCTGGTCTCTTCTCTGAGGCCCTGTGGCAGAGGTGGAATTGTGAACTGAGTAGAGAAGGAGCAAGGGGACCATGGTTGCCTATGCAATTTCTCACACAGATACTTCAAAGACAGTGCCCAAATCCCAAACCTCCATGTTTCACTCAGCGAGTTGACTTTAAAATCTAAGGTGGAAACCAGGTCCTTAGGTCCTACCAGGGACCCCCTGAAGTGGCAAAGATTAAAGGTCAGAACCATGGTGGGAAGAGAAACATGGAGACTCCTTCCCTGTGGGTGCCTTTACCTCAGGGCTCACTACCTCGGGCTCACACCACTCTTCTACACCGTCCTTAGTCCTTGCCTGAAAAATGGAGGGAGGGGAGACTGGGGATTGAACTATGCTCCTTTCAGCTTTGAATTTCTATATTTTTCTCTTTCTTTCATTGAATTGGCTGCTTTGGATGAGCAGGAACTCACAACCAGCCTGAAATCTCCAAGAGAGGATGAGCAGCACTATGCAGCCTATGTGAGAAGCTGTGTGTGTGTGTGTGTGTGGGTGTGTGTGTGTGTGTATGTGCGTGTGTGTGTGTGTGTGTGTGTGTGTGTCTGTCTGTCTGTCTGTCTGTCTGTCTCTGGAGGGTGGCTTCAGCTGGGTGGTGGCTGAGCTGGAAAGTAAACAGCAGCTACAAGTGGATGATGGAACAAGTTGATGCTCCGGGTATAAATTACGGTTGTGTCCAGTAGCTGCTGGGTTGGGGTCCAAGGTCTCGTCACTTTCCTCGGCCCCTCTTCCTGCAGGCTCTGGGACAACTGGGCATCAATGACGAGTCTGTTGTAGACACACTATGGCAGGTGGTAAGTCTAAGAGCTTCATGGAGTTCAGGAAGAGAGAAAAGAAGGTCTGAGGTATGTAGAGGGTAGATACACAAACACAAGACAAGGCTTCTCAGAGTGTAAAAGGTCAGATCCACCACTGTGTGGTAAGTTACCATCTTGTGCCCTTGGCCTCTTTAAAGAGCAATTTGAAGAAAGGGGGAATCTGAAGATCCTCTTTAACAAAAAATATTCTGGACTGAAAGCAAGGAACAAACTGGACCTACAGCCAGGCATGGTAGCACATGCCTGTAGTCCCAGCACTCAGGAAGTTGTAGCAAGAGGATCACAAGTTCCATGCTAGCCTATAATACAAAATGAGTTCAAGGCAAGCCTGGGCCGTATAACAAGATCGTGTCTTGAAAAACCAGTGGTACAGCCCTTGTCTAGCATGAACTAGGCCCTTGGGTTTTATCCTCTCACAAAAATAGATCAAACCAAACAAAAACTGGGACTAAGTTCATTCTCTACTTTAACTAAGACATTGTTTGAGGCTTACATATCTGTTTGACAATTGGGATCTAAGCATTTCTTTTGTTGTTTTTAGGGCAGAGCCTCACTAGTAGCCCAAGGTTTTGAAGTCATGGGTGATCCTCCTGTCTCTGCCTCCTGAGTGTTGGGATTACAGGCAAGAGCCACCACACCCAGCCTGGAGGCTCATCATTCTTCTCTAAAATCACACCTAAATTTTACAAAACACAATATTTATAAATATCTCAAAAACAGAAGCTCTTGAGAATCCAAGTAGTTTGCCTAAAGCCAAGTAGATACTAGATACCACACAGATTTGAACAGAAGCTAACTCAAGGTTCAGTGCTGCCTCCCTTGCACGACCCTGCAAACCTCTGTGCTTGAAGATAAACAGACCACTCTCTAGGTCTCTGTTTCCTCTCTTGTAAGTTTGAAAAGTTGCCGGGTGTGGTAGCATGGTGGGACACCTTTAGTCCCAGCACTCAGGAGGCAGAGGCAAGTGGATCTTTGTGAGTTCAAGGCCAGCCTGATCTCTGTAGCAAACCCAGGCCAGCTGTGGCTTCAGGGAAACCCTGTCTCAAAAAGACCAAAAAATAAAAAAAAGCTTGAAAAGTTCAGCTGACACAATCCCTAAAGCGTTGACATTCTACCTCTTGATGGTATGTTTTCACTACTTCCCTCTTAAATCAGGCTCAAACTGGTTCAGCAAAAGTGAAGGATGAGGCCTATCGAGCCCTGGCCATCCTGGGTATGTTCTCATCCTCTGTGGGTGCTGGGGAGGTATGAAAGAAGGGCCCATATTCTGACTCCAACCTAGCATTCAGCAGGGTTTGATAACTATTCCAGGTACTGTTGGCCAGAGAGGAAAGTGGGTTGAAAAGGAAGAACAGACTGGAGACAGGGAAAGGGAGGCCTGCAGAAGTTGTATTCATGCTGAGCCAGCTGCTCTGGTACCCTGGGAGAATGAGCAACCCCTTGGAAACCAGTACTTGGACCACCTATCTTAAGAGTTCAGTGCAGTCCAATGGGTCCTTACAGAGAAGAGGGATCTTGGAGGTTCTGCCCTGACCTGAGCACCCTCCTGTCCAGGTTGCCTGAATAAGCATGTGATCCAGGCTCTCATCAAACAGCTGACAGGACAAAATGAGTGCAAAAGGATGGAGACTCTAACGGGGCTACGAGTGGCTCTCAACTCTTGGGCTGCTGTGCCTAAAAGCAAGGTAATTGGGAGGAGGGCCATAATTGGGGCAAAGAAAGTCAAAGTAATTAGTGGGTTTGGCTAGGAGCTGAGTCAAGAAGGCAACCTAGCTCTCAGAAGCCACAGGAAGAAGCCACTGTCCTGTGGAGTCCCCTGGGTAACATGTTTATTAAGCAAGCATAAAGACCTGAGTTTATATCCTCCAGAACCCATGTAAAAGCTGAGTGTACACCTGTAAGCCCAGCACTGAGAGGACAAGGGAGTAGACAGGAAGACCTCAGGGGCTCACTGGCTAGTCTAAGCAAAATGGCCAATTCCAAGTTCAGTGAGATGGCTCAGTAACAGCACTTGCATCCAAGCCTGACAATCTATGTTTGATTCTTGAAACCCATGGCTGAGATTAAATGAGATACTAAAGTAACCAGCATGCCTGTGCTTTATAAATGGGAGCTATCATTATCATCACTTCCAAAATACCCTACTGAAGCAAAACCTCAATCAAGAGAGAGCAGAGACCAAGACAGTCCTGTGATACTGCTCTCAGTTTTTTCCCCTTTGAGCCTTCTTCCTTTAATTCCAGGATTGTTTCATGTGAGAAAGAATCCAGAACTCATGTCAGGCCCTTGGGCCACATCAACAAACCAAACAGGCAAAGAACTCTACTCTTGTGGAGCTCACATTCAGGGGTGGGGGAGGCATAATAATCAGTAATTTAATTATAAAATTATACAGTATGTTAAAGGCAACAAGTGCAAAGGAAAAAAGTATGTAGTGGGAGGTGGTAGCACCAGGAGCATCAAGTGGGAGTGGGTTTTAATTCAGATATGGTAGACAGGGAAGATCCAATCCGGAAGGTGTATTTGAGTAAAGACGAAAAAAATCATTAGGTTAGCTTTACAAATTCCTAAGAGAAAGCATCCCAGGCAGAACGACTGGACAGCGCACAGGGGGAGTATGCTTGGCATGGATCAGTAAGAAAAGCCAGTGTGACTGAAGTAGAGTGAGAACAAAGAAAGCACTAAGAGATGAAGGTCAAGTCAAAGGAGTGAACAGACTAGATGGGATGTGGCTTTGGGGGCCTATTTAAAGCACTTGGGCTCTTACCTTGAGAGGTCTTATACAGGATGTAACTTGTATTTCAAAAAGTTCACTCTGCATGCTGTGCTGTGAAAAGACTAGGGGCCAGGAGCCAAGAATGGAAACAGGAGACCAATTAGGGTCTACTGAAACAACGCTGGCAAGATGTGATAGTGGCTTAGACCATGGCAGTCACCATGGATTTAATAAGTGATTAACTTCTGGATTTTTTTTTTTTTCTTTGAGACAGGGTCGCACTGTAACCCCAGCTGGCATAGAACTCCCTATGGAGACCAGGTGGCCTCTATCTCACAGAAATTCACTTGCCTCTGGCTCCCAAGTGCCTGTGCCACCATGCCCAGCTAAACTTCTGGATATTTTAAAAGCAAAATTCTGATGGGCTAAATGTGAGACAGAAAGCAAGGATGAAGGCAACATTTTTGGTCTAACAATTAAAAGGATAGAATTGTCATCTATTAAAACTGAGAAGACTGAAGGGAAACAGGTTTGGATCTAACAACATTAGTTCATTTTGGACAAGTTATGTTGAGATCTCTTTTGGACCCAAAGGGAGATTGCAAGTAAATAGCTGAATATATAATTTAGAGTATGAGTGAAAAACAAGAACCATAGGAAATTTGGGAATTGTTAGCATATAGTAGGCAATTACATCACTGAACTAGATGAAGTCACCTAGGAAACACTAAGAATCTAATTTGGGAACATTCCGATGTTGAGAGGTCAGGGGAAAGAGGAGGGACCAGTCATTGTTGAGAAGTGGCCAGCGAGGTAGGAAGAAACCCAAGTGTGATATTCTGAAATTCAAATTACATTGGCCAAGGAAGAGCCATATCAAGTAATACAAGTACTGGGCTATGTATGTAACTCAGTTGTCGTAGTGCCTTCCTAAGTTAGATCCCTAGCACTGAATACACAGGACATGGTAACGTATGCCTATAATCCCAGCACTTGGGAGATGGGGAGGCAGGAGGAACAAAAGTTCCAAGGTTTCCCTTAACTACAATATCAAGTTTGTGACCAGCCTGGACTACATAAGACTATGCCTAAAAAAAAAAAAAATGGTATTGAGAGATTGAGCAAAAAGAAAGTAGAGACACAAAAGATAGTAGCTGATATTAGAGAAAAATGTCTGGAAAAAAGAAAAGAACATTTCTATGTGGCGAGTAGAAAGAAGAGCAGCAACAATGTAACAATGTCCTTAAGTAGGTGAGAGGAGTTAAAGTTTCTCTACAATTAAGAAACTGGTTTTAGATCGCTGGGTATGGCCCATAGCAACAAGCAGCAGCTGGAAATGGTGGCAGGTGAAAGAAGTATGGACTGTCTTCTAACTACTTTGATTTGCTCAGTGAAGTAAGAAACAAAGTCATCAGCTGTAAGAGCAGAGGAAAGAAGCATTTAGAGGCTATGGAGGAAAGAGTGTGAATGAAGAGAAAGGAAACTGCCCAGGGAAACTGCACTAAGAATGTACATAAGGTTTTTGCTCAGGCATTTAAAGTAAAATCAGAAGCAGCAAGATTAGAAGCTGGGCCTGGTAAAACAGGCCTGTAATTCTAGCTACTCAGGAGCCTCAGGTAGGAAGATTGCAATTCCAAGGCTTACCTATGCTATAGAATGAAGGAGTTCAAGTCCAGCCTAGGCAACTTAGCAAGACCCTGTCTCAAAAATGAAAAGGGGGGCTGAGAATAAGCTCAGTGGTAGACCACCCCACATGCATGAGACTCTAGGTTTGTTTGTTTTGAGACAAGGTCTCACTATGTAGCTCTGGCAGGCCTGCCTCTGAGTGCTGGAATTAAAGGTGTGCACCACCACGCCCAGTCCAGGCTCTAGGTTTAATTGGAGGGAAAGAAGTAAAAGGAAGTAGAGGGGATGTTTTTCTATGTTTTTCTCCAGAAAGCAGAAAGTAGAGAGTTAGATTTAACTAGGTAACAAAGATTGTGTGAAGTGAGAGGGAGGGGGCAAAGTAGCAGAGTGTGAGGCTGGGGAACGATTACAGCAGGACCGTGGAATTTAAGCAAGGTAGAAGGAAGGCAAGGAACAGTGAAAAGGTGTTAGACTCAATGGAATGATAGTCCTTTGTGAAATCAAACAACTGATGGCATCAGGAGGTTAGCTGAAAAAATGAGAGGTGATCAGAGAACGGAAACAAGAAGTTTCAGTTGTGGATAGTGAGCAGGCCTCTGCAGGATTGGTGGCAGAGGTACACTGGAAAACAAAATTATTGGAGGAGAGATCCTGTATGAAGTACAAGTGTAATTTAAAATTGCCAAAATTTAAGATAGAAGTGTTTAAAAAGATAACATTCACAAGACAAAGTCATAAAGAAATAAAGAAATCTGATCTAGGGGAAGCATGCAAAACCATGTGATGGCATGAGGCTCGTTTTAGAGAGAATGAATGATGGGAAGCAGTATCCTATGAAGCATGAACCCTGAGCCAAGCATGACAGCACATGCCTGTAATTGGGAAGCTGAGGCAAGAGGATCCTGATTTCGAGGTCACCTACAAAGTAAGATCCTGTCTCAAAGAAAACACACACACCAAAAACATCAAAAGTGAAGGGTGGCTGAAGACATAGCGCCTCCTGCTGACCATTTCACGTACTGTCTCCCTCTTAGAGGTCTGAAGTTGGAGCTGAAGAAAAGTTAGCGCTTGTGCTGCAGGCACTGATAAATAAGTCATTGAATTAAGTATCCCTAGAAGCAGCCCTGTGTTTGGGTTTTCTGAGGCCCTGTAGCAACACAGTTCAAGAGTTCCTGCTGCAAAGTCTGTACCAAGGGCCCATGACCCAGAGAATGAAGGTACGAAGGGCATGAATCTGGGATCCCTAGGAAACACCTGACAACTGGCCACAGCTGATTTGGGTGGGGGTATGGATCCTGCCAGCCCTGTCCCAAAGAAAATAAGCTTCAGCTGGGTACATAGCAGAGATTTCTGTGTGTTCATGAATATGGATATACATGAGTATGGGAGCATGTTGAACATATAAGGATGTACATCTACATATATTTGACTATTAATGTTCATTTATGTACCTGTGCACACATCAACTTATGTTCTCATTCAAAAGACCACAAGGCAAAAGAAAGTACCTCCACCTGTTCCATGAGCTCTAGGCCCAGCCCTCAAACCTGCTTGTCATCTACATACCTCCAGGTACATATCTGTATACCGCCCCATTTTGCCCCTCACAGGCACTTAGGATGCTGGTAAAGATAATGCATATACATTCAGCTACAGTCACCAAGCCCATTCTGGATCAGCTATGCTCTTCTGATGTCCTTGATGTAAGTTCTGGACTGCCTTCCTCAGCACTAGAAGAAGGCTGGAAGATGGGAAAAGGCACCATCTTTCACACCTCCCCACCCCTGCCTGCCCTTAGGATCGTTTTGAAGCCACCCAGATGCTCAAGACCATTGGGCTGGAAGAGATCCAGGCACAGGGGCTAGAGGAACTCACATTCGACCTGCTCAAGAAGAAGATGCACAATGAACCCTTCCTAGTGAGATCACAGCTCCCAAACCCATCTCCTCTTCTCTTCAGACAGTAGTACCCACCATATCCCATGCCTAGTATCACACTGTTCTTAATCTGTTCCTCATGCGGTCTATTTTCAAGTCACATTGCCTTTGTTCAGGCAGTTCCCTCAGCATAAAAATGCCCTCAAACTGCCTCCTCTGATTCATTCATTCCTATTAAAATGCCCTTCCTTTCTTCCCTCTCCCTCCCTCCCTCCCTCCCTCCCTCCTTCTTTCCTTCATTCCTATTAAAATGCTATTGATCCTTCCAGACCATCCCAAGTCCAGTGTGGTAGTGCATTCCTGTAATCCCAGCACTTGGACGAAGGAAGCAGGATGATCAGGTTGAAAGCCAGCTTTGGCTACACAGTGAGTTTGAGGACAGTGTGAGCAACATGAGAAGAAAACAAAAGTCCAAATGACACCTCCTATGGAAAGATTTCCAAATCACCAGGCTCAAACTTGCCTTTCTCTACTTCCCTTGCTTTTATCCTCACAGAACTGTAGCATTTCCACAGTTTTAAAATGTAGACTGTGTCTCACCTCTGCGTAAAACTTCTCAGTGGCTTCCAGTGCCCCCAGAGTGGCCTACTTTGTGTCATATCTCAAGCCCAACTTACCTCGTCAGCTTTTTTCCCCCTGCATGGAGGATCAAACACAGCCTTACCTATGCTACACAAGTGCTCTACCACTGGGCTACGTCCCTAGGCCTTTGTTCTTTTAAAACACTGTGTTGCCTGGCTAGCCTCAAACTCACGATCCTCCTCCCTTTGCCTCCCAAGTGCTGGGATTACAGGTGTGCACCACCATGCCTGGCACCTCTCCTCCTTTATTTCTCATACCAGCTATGGTATGGCCATGTCCTGATTTGCCCCTCTTGTCCCAGTATAATTGCTGAGTACTCTGAAGAGCCCCAGCTTGGCCACCTCAGTAAATAAACTCAACTCCTCATCCTGTTTTTTTCTTGCATCCAGGTTTTTGCACGTGAGATCTTCTCTGCCACCAAAAAGATCTGCTTCCCCAATTCTCCCACTCATCCTTGAAATGCCAGCTAAGGCATCACCTCCTCCAGAAAATCTTCCCTGTATCCAAAAACAAATCAGAAAGTCCTATGTGTACCCTACATAGTACTGTAATTGCCTGCTTACTTGTCTGCTTCCTCTAAGGCACATATGCTTTGTAACAAAAAGTGAGCATTTAACAGAAGTTGTACACCCCTGTATTCCCTCTCTGTTGCCCCACTCTGCAGACAATGAGGCAAGCTATGGCTGGAACAGCAGAAAAGCTCAAGATGAAGCCTTTGATGATGGACTTGATGGAGGCGTGAGTTGGGCTGGGCTGGTAGGGATGAAACGGGTTGGGTGAGAACCTTGCCATCACTTCTGGCAGTATTTTCTGGGCTTTTGCTCATGTGTTTAAAAAGGGAGGCAGGGAGGTGGAGAGACGGCTCAGCAGTTAAGAGCACTGACTGCTCTTGCAGAGGACCTGGGTTCAATTCCCAGCACCTACATGGCAGCTACAAACCATCCTTGACTCCAGTTCCAAGGGAATCTGACACCCTCTTCTGACCTCCGTGGCACGGCATGACATGGGTGCACTCATATACATGCAGGCAATACACTCATGCACATAAAATAAATAAATAGATAAATAAATAAATAAATAAATAAATAAATAAATGGAGGCAGGGAGGGCTAGTAAGACCGGTCACTCAGGGTTGCTATAAAGTTCAAATTACTCTAACCTGAAAAGTACTTTCAAAAGGTTAAAAATTCTAGACAGATCTAAGACCTGATAATCATTCAGTGATTCCTGGCAAACTATAGTATCTGCCCCTCCCAGATCCTTTGTTTCCTTGTTAAAAACAAGAGATGAAATTAGCAGCACTTATCACCATCATGCCCAGCTCACTCTGGGCCTGAGATGTAACTTCCTCCCTTCTTCCCTTTCTCTCCCTTTCCCTTAACTGAACAACATACTCCTTCTACACAGGCAACTGATGAGCCCAAATGCCAGTGATCGCCAGGAAGCAGTCATCTCTTTGGTAAGGCAGGCTTTTTCTCTGACCCAGTTCCTGAGATGTGCTGATGGTGGGGGCATTGGTGATTGGGCAGTTACTTAGGGTAAGAAAGAACTGTAAATTTGGGGAGGTCATTTAGATTGGAATTCTAGCCCTATCAAGAGTTCAGGGCTCAGGGTATGTAGGATAAAAGCTAGATGGACATGAAGGATACTATTAGACATTACAGAGATTGTCATGACTCTTCCTGATGAATAATGTGAACTAGATCCCCAAATGGCAAGGAAAAGGAAACCACAACTCCTCTACAGGCCACAAAGTCATCACAAAGGGAGTAGAACAGGAAGAGGATGGGCATCCTGGGGCTGGTTACTCAGGCAGGCTCCCCCATTCTCTGCCCAGGGTGCACTGGGAATCCGTAACCCACAAGTGTTCCACCTGCTTGAGAACCAGTCTGTGAAGAAGAGTGTAAGACATTCCTGCCATGGATTCCTCTTCTCTATCCCTCCTCCACATCTCTCCTCCTCATCTTACCATTTGCTCCTGGTCAGCAATGAGGGAATAAGGGTGGAAATTCTCAGACAGTCCCTTGACTTGATGCTTTGGGATTACAGTGGCTTGTGGCTAGAACTTTCCCTCCCTCAGGAGCTACCCCACTTTCCCAGCCTGAACCCAAAGTGAGCCAGTGCAAGGGTCTTTATTTCCACACAGCTACAAGATACGTTGTTTGGGCCTCAATCCATCCCTGGATCCAAAACAAGCTGAAGAATAAGGTTTTCTTTGTGTATGACATACCTAAAAAAACTGTGAAGGCCAAGCCCAGAAGGTTCCAGAAGGAGCCTGACGACCTAGAAGATTTACACATTCGAGACTTTCGACTTGCTAAGCTGAGTCCCTTGTTTATTGCAAAGGCCGGCAACAAGGTAGGCCAAAAGAAGGAGCTGCCTGCTTTCTCATTCTATTTCTCTAAACCACAAAAGCAAAAGCCACAGGCCACAGGGCCTTGGCAGCCAAAAGTCAGGGAACAGCTTCGGAACTTGGTGAAATCTCAAAATAGGTTCGTTTCTTCGGCCTAATTCCCACTCTCTTCCTTCAGGATGGCTTCCTGAGAAAATAACCCATTTTCTTTCATGAATAAATGGTTGTCACTCTACCTACCACATCTCTGCTTCACCACTGCTGTTCACTTCAGAGGCTGTGCTGGAAGTTGATTTCCTTGCTGGATTGAGTGTTCTTTCTATGCAGTCGCGCTCCCTTTCACCAGAGCAAAGAGGGGAGGACAGAACCAAAGATTCTCTTCATGGCCAGATTTTCTGTTGCAGTTTCATTCTGTTGCTATGACAAATACCATGATCAAAAGAAACTTAGGGGAGAAAAGGATTTATTGGCTTACATTTCCAGATCACAGGCCATCATTTATGGAGGTCAGGGCAGGATCTTGAAGACAGGAGCTTGAAAGCAGGAACCATGCAGGAATGCCACTTGCTTGCTTGTTCACAGGCTCATGCTTAGCTAGCTTTCATATACAGCCCAGGACCATCTGCCTAGGGATGGTCCTCCTCCTGTCCCCCAGTCACTTCAGTCCTCCTACATCAATTAGCAATCAAGCCAATCCCCACAGACATGCCCACAGACTAATCTGATCAAGGAAATTCCTTGACTTTTTAAACTTCCCTCTTCACAGGTGACTCTAGGTTGTATTAAGTTGAAGACAAGAACTTACTAGGACACTTTCCAAATCAAATCCTTGTTTGTGCCCATATATTTTATAACAAAATTAGAATACTAAGCCTCTACCTTGAGAGAAAACAAGAAAATACTGGGAAGTTTGGTTCTCTGACCATTTTCTAACTTGCCCTCAACCTTTTTCATCACTGATTAAAAAAAAAAGTTTTTTTAAATGTTAAGAGGCTGAGCAGTTAAGAGCACTGGCTGCTCTTCCAGAGGACCCAGGTTTGGTTCCCACCATTCACATGGCAGCTAGCAACTGTCTGTAACTCCAGTTCCAGCAGTTAATAGTCTGACACCCTCTTCTGGCCTCTGTGAGCATGACATGGGTGAATTTACATACATGCAAGCAAAACATTCATACATAGAAAAATTTTTTTAATCAAAATTTTTTTAATTTTTATATGCCAGGCATGGTTGTACATGTCTTTAAATCTCAGCATTTGGGAAACAGAGGCAGGTAGATCTTCGAGTTCCAGGCCAGCCTGGTCTACGCAATGAGTTCCAAACCAACCAGGATTACAATCAGACCCTGTTTCAAAAAATATTATTACATTTATTTATTTATTTCCTTATTTATTTCCTTTATTTATCACACATATGAATGGGTGCATGTGTCACAGTGCACATCTGGAGGCCTAGGGACAACTTGTAGAAGTTGATTCAGTCCTTCTACCATGTGAGTTCCAGAGATCAGCCCAATTTTTAAAATCTTTTTGAGTCCATCTAGGTCTCAGAGTAGGCCTGAACTTTCAATCCACCAGTGCTGGGATTATAGGTATATACCATCATACCATGCTGATATTAAGCTTTGGTCAGAGCCAACCAATCTCCCTGCTGCACCTATACTCTACCTACCTCAGTTTCAATCACTTTGAAAAACCCCATTTGGTTTGTACAACTATCTTAGCTTTCTCTTATTTCTACTGACATATCAATTTCCCTTTGCAATCAAACCTACCACACCAATCTTAACAAGCCACAAACCATATTAAGAAAAAGCTTCCAGGCATGATGCTGCACACCTTTGATCCCCGCACTCTGGTGACAGAGGCAGGCGAATCTTACTTAGATCAAGGCCAGCCTTGTCTACAGGTCTACAGCCTGGTCTACGGGACTACAATGCAAAGCAAGTTCCCAGACGAGCTGGGGCTACAGGAAGACCCTGCCTTAAAAAAAGAGAAAAGAGCTGCTAGGCATAGAAGTGCCCACCAGCAACCGCAGCATTTGGGAGATTAAGGCAAGAGAACTATAAGTTTGGAGTTCACTTGAGCTGCACAGTGAGTATACTGCTCGCCTGAACTATAGAGCAAGAAATAAGCCGGAACTCTGAAATCAGACAAATCTGAAATCTAATCCTAGGGTCCTTCACTTTTTTCATTTTGGTAAAGTTTGATACTGTACTATTTTAGTCATTAATAAAATGAAAATAATGCCCACTAGCTCAGGGAGCGCCAGAGGATTAATTTTTAAAAATCTAACAGTGTGGGGCTAGTGTGTGGCTAACAACTGTCTGTAACTCCAGTTCCAGGGCATCCGACACCTTCTTCTGACCTGCACAGGCATTGCACGACCCGCGTACACTTTCACACATGCAGGCAATACATTCATACACATAAAACAAAAATAAAATATTTTAAAAACCTAACAGTGTTTGGCATTACATGGTAAATGATCAAATATAGACCCAGGTATGGTGGCAACATCCAAGTAATCCCAGTACTCAGGAGGCTAGAATAGGAAGATTGTAAATTTAAGGCCAGCCTGAGCTACACGGCAAGATACTATCTCAAACAAAAACAAGAAAAGACAAAAACGAAAAATTCTAACTTTTCCTTACTATTCTTTAGTGTTGACACCTGAGCCTAGGATGATCGAAGTCAAAAACACTGTCTCCTTACACCCTCATTTATTCCTTCAGTCACAGTGCAGTGATTTCATGGGCGACTCATTTTTCCCACCAAGCACAGAAAAGCCAAATGGATACCCCTTTCTGCCTTACCATAACCCAAGTTCTACAGCACTTCAGTTATTCCTAATTTTGTAGTGTTGCTTGGGTTTATTTCCCAATATGCCCCACTACTACTAGATTTGTCTAGGACTGAGTTTTAAGCAAAAAGCAAAAGCACAGTTTCCCTATTCTGCAAGAGAAGCAGCAGTGCCTAGGAACTCCTCTGACAATGTGGCACAGTGTTTAAAGGTAGGAAAGATGTTCTTTCTTGATCATTCTTGCTGTTTTGGACCTATGGGCAACGTAACTCAAATTTCCCTGGGCTTTTCAACAGCTTACGGGTATAGTCTTATTAACTATATTATTTAAGCTTTCAACTTGTGCAAAACCCTGCCCAGATCTCTAATCCCTCCTTCTCCATATTTCTGGTGCCTCCAGAGAGGTCTTCCCACTCTCTGGAGGCAGGTATCGAGAGTCTCTGCTTCTAACACCTCAGTCCTATTTCACCAATCCTCACCAGAAGACTTAAGACACCACTGAGAAAAAATGTCTTTGGACAGCACTTCCCATCTGGCCCACCAATGTATCAGAGCATTTTCTCAAGAGTCTAAGATGCCAAATGCCTACTCATCTCAACCATCAGGACCTATTAGAACAGATCCTTAGTACACCATGCAAAATATAACCTACAACCCTCCTCTGTCTCAAACCTTCCAAATGGGATCTCTGTATGCTCCCTCTAATAATAAACAAAAGGCACCCTCCATTTCCTCTTTATACATTCTCATCCCTCTGCTTATCTAAAATCTTGTTCTCTTGATTTGGTCACTTCCTGAAATGAGGAAGTTATTCACACTGCAGTCTGTCACTATACTGTACCTTTTAACTTAAAAAAAGAAAAAAATAGTGTTTCTACAAAGGTCCCATACACTAACAAGTTATACCACCCTCTGGTCAACTTCCTCATTTCCTCTCATTCATTACTTGAATCTTAGTCTTGACATCTTCCTAACAACTTGGCTCTAGACAAAAATCTAACTCTCCAGCCTCTCAGCCCTTGATCTTAACCACACTTTTCCCTCCCATTCATTTATTTCAGTTGTTATTTGTTTGCATGGCCACATCTAACCTTGTCATCCCCAAGAACTACCTCATCTCTACAATCTTAAACACCCCACCTTCTGAATCAAACATCCTCTCTGTTCAGCAAAATTACACCCCTTACCAATTCTTTGACTCTCATCAATAAAACTAAGCTCTTGGCTTCCATTAAATCTTTTTTTCCCCCCTCCTACTTAGCCTGGTCCCCAATTAATAAGCCACTATCACCTTTCTGACCAATAAAACCTCTAACCTGAACCAAACTGCCTCTATTCCTGTAAACACACTACAATCAAAGCCAGGGAGTAAAAAAAAAAAAAAAATTCACATATCCATATAGACTGGTACCTACAAGACTTCCTTCCCTAACTGAGGGTTTTGTGGGGCTTTTGTGTGTGTGTGTATGTATGTACCATAAAGTACCACTTTTATCCAAAATATGTATGATGTGATGAAATTTTTTTTTTTTTTTTTTTTTGTCTTTTTGAGACAGAGTCTCCCTGTAGCCCCAGCTGGCCTGGAACTCACAGGAATCCGCCTGCCTCTGCCTCCTAAGTGCTGGGATTAAAGGTATGCACCACCACGCCCCACATGATGTGATGAATTTTAAGTATTTTAAGCAGTAGGTCCAGAGAATTCTCACTGGTATGGAGAGGAAGCAGCCCTCCTAATCTGCTGAAATGCTTTTCTACTCAACTTAAGTTTGAATCAGTACTGACAATCACAAGTAGCAGCTTATAAAATCTGATGTTACAAACTTTAGTCTTTGAGATATGCAGGGTTCTTGTATGTAACTGATATAAACCCCATTATCTGAGCTTTCTTAACTGCTTTGGCTATTTGTTTCTTTCCACAAAGACTTGTTCCATGCCTTCCGTAAATGCATCCAGTAAATGGAGAATAACCTGGGACAAAAGCTGTATGTTTCTCACACAAGATTCATTTCTTAAGGGAAGGACTTTCCATTTCAATGGATTACTTGTTTACACTATAAACAACCACCTCTTCCCCACAGCACTAAGTTCTGTGATCTGTGACGCAAACTGCAGCCCTTACCTACTTCTTCCTCCCTACACCTCTACATAGCTACCACAGACCCAGCTGCCATGTTGCTCACTGGTCTTCCTTTCTTTTTCCTAATCCTTAACTGATTCTTACTGTTACCAGGCAATTTTATGGGTTCCTAGCAAAACACTTCCCTATTCCCCAGTGGTGGTTTCAAGCCTCCTCATTTAGCCTCATCTCTCCTAGTCTCTTCAAACTTTCTCAACTCTCAGAAGACCACAGTATATTCTC